AAAAGTCTAGCTGTGCCAAAATCTGAGACATGAGCCTCATAGTCTAAATCCAAGAGAACATTGTTGCTAGAAATGTCTCGATGAATTATAGGTGGTGAATGGTCGTGATGCATATAAGACAAAGCATTGGCCAATCCTTTGACAACATTGAGCCTTTTATTCCAATCCAACTCCGCTGCCTCTTCATTATGGCTTAAGATCATTCTCAAACTTCCTCTTTCCACAAACTCATAAACCAGAAATGAGTGCTTTGAATGTGAACAAAAACCATGTAGCTTCACAATGTTACGATGCCTTATTTCTGTCAAAGCATGAATCTCACTTCTAAAGGCTTTCAAGTTATTAATAAGCATGCTATCTTCTTGTTGGTGAAGTTTCTTGACAGCGACCGCCTGACCATTTGGTAGCACAGCTTTATAAACATTTCCATATCCTCCTGAACCGATGCAATAGTTGGAGCTGAAATCTTCTGTGGCTTCAATAATATTCTCATAGAGTAGTCTTCCACCATATCCCAATACTGTGAAAATATCTCCAAGTTGTGCCTCCCTTATCTCAGATTTTCTGGCTCGATTCTTTTGACGAAGAATAAAGAAACCTCCAAACAAGGTAAGTATCAGAAGCAACATACCAAAGAGTGGAAGCACAACTAAAATGATGACTCTGCTGCTTTTTCTATGACCGATTTTGCGGCTAGTGATAGGAGCACAAGGCATTAATCCAGTGGCATTACCACAGAGGTCCTTATTGTTTCTTAAGGCTTCAAATGAAGCCTCATGAAATGCCTTAAGGTTGGGAATCGGCCCTTCTAATTGATTGTAAGAGATATTCACAACCGTCAAGCTACGCAAATCATTGAAAGCAACCGGGATTGAACCATTGAGCATATTGTGAGAAAGATTCAATGTTTCCAACATATGTAAATTTCCAAGCGGTTGTGGTATCGCTCCAACAATCAAATTCTGACTCAAATCTAGACTTTGCAAACCATATATTGACCTTAATGAAAAAGGAATGCTTTCTCCAAGTTCATTCCTGCTCAAATTCAAGTTCAATAACTTCGAGCACTCTCCAAGTTGATTAGGAACCGGTCCACTTAAATTGTTTGATGCCAAGTTTAGATGTTCTAGATTTGAAAGAACTCCAATCTCTGATGGAATTTTGCCTGAAAGTTGGTTACCGTTTAGCAAAAGTCGGAACATCGATGATAATGATCCCAATTCTTTGGGAATCTCACCAATTAGATGATTTGAAGAGAGATCAAGTTCCTGTAATTGAGTTGCATGTTCCAACTCAGGTGGTATCTTTCCAGAAATGTTGTTATTGGAGATTTGTAGGCTTGTTAGATTATGGCATTGCCCCCACTTTGGAGAAAGTTCACCATAAAACCTGTTATTGCTTAATGCAATATAATTCAAATTTGGATATACACCAAAAGCTTCTGATATATCTCCTGTCAATTGATTTCCTTCAAGCCTAACTCTGTATAAACTTTTGCAATTTCTCAAGCTTGGTGGGATTTGACCTGTTAAATTGTTGTCGGTGACCCCAAGATAAGCAAGGAGTCCACTATGGCATAAAATCTCGGGTAATTGACCTCTAAGATGGTTATATGATAATTGTAGTGATTCCAAATGAGTAAGATTGCTAAATGTTGGAGGAGTGGACCCTGACAAATTATTACTGAAAAGAGATAGTACCCTGAGCTTCGTCATTTTTCCCATGGAAGCAGGGATTTGGCCAGAAATCATGTTTCGATAAAGTTCAAGATTAGACAAGTTTGTTAAGTTTCCTATGGAAGCAGGGATGAAACCGGTGAGATTATTACTTGACAACTGCAATACGGACAAAGATCCAAGTTGTCCTATTTGACCGGGGATAGAACCAGAGAGCTTATTGTCATATAGATAAAGCCACACCAATTTGCTTAAATTTCCAATGGATTCGGGGATAGGACCAGATAAGGAGTTATTTGAAAAATCAAGCAAAAGGAGAGACCTCAACATTCCAACTTCTCCAGGTATGCTACCATTGAGTTTGTTGCTCTCAAGGTAAAGGCTGGTTAAATTATGCAAGCTTCCG